CTTACTGACTCGTATCTAACTTGTTTTTGCGCGGCCAAAACTTGGGCCGCCTTGTTGGCACCTACGGTCTTAAGAGCCAGCTCCATTTATACAAGATTGCGGCACTAAAAAGTGCATCCAAGTGCCACTTCGATTGTCTCGAATCTGAGTTTCTTCTGTGTGTGTGTCAGACAGGCAGGCGGGCGTAGGCGTTCCGTCGTGCTCCAGTGAACTGACTCTATTGATTTGGCAGGTCATACACGATTGGGCAGCGAGAGTTCCACGTAAGTCAGCTGACACACCAAGGATTACGTGTTGTTTTCTTTAAGGACTCCCTCAAAGCGGACTTCAAGCACTCAACCATTCATAACTACTGCAAAAGTTATGCAGTTTTCGTTGTTTACTCAGTGTAACCCAGTGAAGCGTTCGATCGTTATTCAATTGAGCATTCGCACAAAATTAAACATTGGACTACCCCAGTGCAAACGCGCCCTCGCAGTTGCATTACCCATTGCCGCCTCCCCCACAGAGGGATCGGCCTGCATGTTCCACTCGCCCCCTTATGCAAGCACAGTCCATTGCACACATATCGACAATGACAAGTACATGGGCATAATAAAGTCTTGGAATTTATTTTTATGTGCATATAATAGAGGGCAGCTGACCCATCCGTTCACCCCCTCGCACAGAGCGCAGAGCCCAGGGCCCAGCGCCCAGTGTCAGAGCCCGAACGCCCAATCATGCAGGCCGCCCCCAAGAGACGCATTTCATCTAAAAATACGGAAAATGCTATTTGCCTGAAAATACCGAGGCCCGAGAGGCGGGCGAATGCGTAGAGCAACAACAATAACAGTTACAAGGCAAAATACACAGACGAAGCCAGCCCAGGGATCAGAAAGCAGGACCATGACCATGACGTGCACTGACTTACATCGTGTCCAATGCATTGCCCGAAATCTGTCTGACAAAATGTCTGCAGCGAATTTTCGAATTTTGCCAATATTTGTGTAGTCATTCGGAGATTATCCTAATTGAGAATCTCGGCGTGAAGCAGGGGTTTCCCGAGCCCTTAACGTTGGCTACGCTTGATGGTCCACGGGTTTATGGCCATCGATGCGACAGGTCAAATAAAGAGATACAGGTCCATCAGGCAAGGGGACTTGCCCGAAGGCGGAAGCATGAAATTGTCGCAATTAAAGGGAAATATTTTGTGTAAAGCTAAAAGTATAGCCAGATATGCTGGGGCAAGTGCAAGGAACTAGAACTGAAACAGGAAAGTAAATCCATTACGTAGCTCTGAGCCCAATTCCTGGAAGCGCACAGCAAATGAAGAACAAACAAAGCAAGATTTGCCAACTTTGCGGCGCTTGGCTTATCAATGGCTCCATCCGTTCGTTGTGTCACAATTCATTATAGACTCAAGCGTCTAAGGACAACAGCATCTACAATATATACTTTTCGTTTTAGATTTCGTGACAAATGTACAAAAATGGCGAAGCCATCAACTTACCCCCGACTGCAAAATTACGAAAAGCAAAATATTTACACAGACCTAGGCCTAGGCCGCCTCAGCTTGGGCAAATGAAGCTGACCTGGCTGGCAGGCTGGCAGGCTGGCAGGCTGCCTAGCTGCCTAGTTGGTTGACTGCCTGCAGGAAGCAGGCTGGCGGAGCCAAAAAGGATTACTTATCGCATATTTTGACATAAGTTAAGTTCATCACTGAAATACGAGAGTCAATTGTCCAATGTCTGATTCGGTTGGGGGTGAAACGCAAGCCGATGGCCGGACGGATAGACAGCCAGTTGCTCGTGTGATGGGTGGATTGTGATAAGCCGAACGTCCGTCAGGGCGGCCAGGGCAAGGACAGCCAGGCCTGGGGTGGAGTGCCCACCATCGATTGCTCCTTTGTTTATAGGCCTTCTACGCCTTGTTTATTTGCATTCGCCTGTTTGTATTTGCACTGAAATCGAGGCAGCGACTGGACGACGGCTCCGGCCTGCAGACCAATTGACAGCTTAGGGCGGCGGCAATCGGGCTTGCAAAACAATTGATGGATATTGTGGACATGTGTACGGAACTTGGCTTTGATTTGTCGTACTTATTTAAAATGCGAGTGCTAATAATGCTTTATTATGGCCCGAAAAAGGGACAAAGGCAAGGAATTTAATTCCAGTTTAAATGTAGTTTTGTTTTTGGGTCTCCCCTGACGGCCTTTGCTCGTTTGCGTGGGCCGTAAAAGGGTTCTAAGTCGCCTGGATTCTCTTAATACTTTCCCCAACTTTTGATTGCGTAAAAAGCTTTTGCTTATTTCGGCTAAGGCAACAGAAAACAGAAAACAGAAAACAATTACCTATGCTTTTTCCCCGTGCACTACACACACACTGCCCAGATTTCTCTTTAAATTCAAGCTAGTCTTGTGGCGTTCGACACCGTCTCTTGAAGACTCAACTCTATGTATGCATAAATGTATGCCTCATAGCTGAAGCTACTGAAGCTGGGACATGCTCTGTGGTGGGCGTGCACACACATGCTGACAGTGTTGGAGCTGTGCTGCGTCTCTCATTCAACTGGAATCTCTATTCAAATAGCGAGCGCTAGACCTGTAGATACCCCCTTAGAGACCGCCTCCTGAGAATATTGCAATTAGAATGCAGATACAAAACCTACTCACAATTATATGTGCCTCCCATATATAATGGCGTCAGTGGCCAGCCCTGTACTGCGTGCAATATACCCGCTTTGCATTTCTCAGAGTGAGTGCAGGGTATAATAAACAGAAACACAACAGAATAACAAAGACAGCCACGGACTGGGGTCCAGACGGCAACTTGGTATTGAGACTGCTCTGACTACTCATCCACAGCCGCGCCTGGTTGTAAAGATATAAAATCAGACAACTGCAACAACAAGCAACAAGCAAGCAACAAGAGCAGCTAGGACAGCACAGGAAAGGACAGGAAAGGATAGGACAGGGCAGGCCAGTCGGGCCAGGACACTGTTGTGCCCGTCTAGTGGCCGACGTCTGGCTTCTACTGGCTCCTCTGTGCTCTGTCAGCTGCAGCGGCGATTTGTAGCGCCACAAGGATAATCACACTTTTAATCGTGATTTAAGTTTATGGCGCTGGGCGCTCGTTTAGTTTCTAGCCAACTCGACGCGTTGCTTGCGAGGATTTTCAATTTTTTCCATGGCTTCATCAGCATCAGCGCCAGCATCGAGCGCCTTGTTAGCTTGCCGCTTTCATTTTTATATATTTTTTAATGATTTTTATTGCATAACAGGCGGCGTGTTTGCCCGTCTTCCATTGTCCTGGGCGGCAATTGCACTTTGCCACATTTTATAGTCGCCCCAGCAGCCCCCAGTGATTTGTGGATAGTGCAGCCATCCAGCCAGCTAGGCTGGCAGACGAGAGCAGCTTTAGTCTGGCTTCTGAGCACGAGATTTTCAGCTTAAGATTACATCTAAGAATACTTCAGCTTTAGTCGAGAGCCTCTACACATTTGTGCGTGTCTGTCTGTGTGTGTGCCTGTCTGTGTGGGTAAATATTTACAAGATTGCATCAGTCAGAGTTGAAATTCAATCAAATTAAGTAGTTAGTTCAACTGTTGCTGCTCAGCGGGCTCTCCACTACAATGCTCGCTCATAATGGAACAACAATGCTCCGCAGCCACATAAATCTTGGCCACAATTTGCCACACCTTTGGCCAGGCGGCTTACTCCGTAATTTGCAGCTGCTTTCTTCCCGCTAAGCAAACTCGCATTCTCCACGAGCGGCGACTAAGAGTGTGTCCCATCCGCTCTGCTCCGCTCAACAAATTATGAGCTCTAACATTAATTTCTCGTCGGGTGCCAAGTTTGCCAGCCGGAGAGAGGCTGAGGCTGGCTGGGGCTGAACTGTGAGCACATTTTTGTGCTGTAATTAGAAGGCAGTCGCAAGTCAAGGAGAAGCTAGTGGCCAACTTGAGCATTGAGAGGAGTCGGCTGCAGATCGGTGGCGAGGGCGAAGGCGAAGGCGAAGGGTGAGCGCAGGGGGATTGGCCACTTGAAATGCAAATTGCGTGCAAATTATGGAAAACTGCCAGCCAAGCAGGCAGGTGAGCAAGTTTTTTGATTTGTTGTGGCAGCCGAGGTAGGAATTATGCAGCAACGGAAATATTACTTAAGGCTCGAAAGTTGTGTTTTTAATTGCTCGAGTTGCTTTCCAATTTGCGATGCACCTCGGCAGAGTGCAGCCCGGCGAGTCCTAATCAAATTAAGTCAAAAGCTTAAAACGCATTCCTTCTGTGGCCAAAGTACAAGCTATCGATGTGTCGGCTGAAGACTAAGACCACTGATCTGTGGATGCCTATAGTCTATATGGATACATCGAATTCCATATTCAAAAACTCTTATCGAAATTTATCCTATGTGCCGATGATGACATTAGGAATTAAAGTAAAAATATTATGAATGTATGTTGGTCAGATAATAAGCAGATAAATACCATAGATAGGAGATTAAATATACCCCGAACCCATTGAAAATGGGAAAGTATATATGTATATTGTTAATCTGGACAACGAGTCGATACAGCCATGGCCGTATATTCGTCCGTATGAACTTAGAGATATTAGAACGTGAAGAATTTTTGCTAACTGTAAGCAATACGATCAATCTTTTTAGATAAGTCATCCCATTTAATTTTAATCGATAGTAATCGATAATTCACAATAAAGTTTTTTAAGCGTAATTTTAATACCGTAGATTACACATGTAATGTATAGATTCATAAAAATAAATTTGRGGTGATATTATTATTATTATACTATTGTACTAGAATAAATCTTACTTAGCAAGTTTAAATTTACAAATGAAAAGCGAATTTATTCCAGAAATCCAGGAATTTTTCATTCGACAAAAAATCAATTAAAATTTATCTTATAAATTCGAATCTCTTCACTCTTGTAGCACTTTCATTTCCAATTGTATATTTGCTAAATACTTTATATACGCTTTAGGGATAATTCTTCCTTATACAACTTACCGTTATTATGAGTTAGAAACGCGTTATCCGCCTCCGATGACGATGATCCCTGTTGCTCGTTGTTGGCGTTAGATGAGGACGACGAGTTGGAGAAGTCATACGGATGACTCAAGCTATTATTGCCGCTAACAGCAGCAGAGGCAGCCAGCGCCTTGAAGAGGTGTGCGGTGCGCTGTTGTTGCTGTTGTTGCTGCTGTGGTTGTTGCTGTTGTTGTGGATTGTAGGGATTGTTGTATATGTTGCGTGTGTCAGTCGCTGGCTGCAGCTGCTGCTGCTGTTGCTGTTGCTGTTGTTGCAAGCTGTACTGTTGCTGCTGAAGCGTGTTATTAGCACTCAAGCCGTTCACCGTGAAATGTCGTGATTTTCCTGTAAGACGAGAGAGAAAGAGAGAGAGCGAGAGGGAAAGATTAGAAAAGGTGCGTCAAAAGCGGGCAGATATATTTATCTGTTCAAATATAAAAACGAACTCTGTCGAAAAGTTTTAACAAAAAATTCAACTTTTTCGCCATGTCACGACAGTTGGCCCAGCCCCAACTCAGCCCCCTCTCGAAGGCGCCGCCCCTCACCAACCTCCCACAAACACGCTTAATTGCACGCATTGAAATATGTAAATGCCCAAAGAGGATGGAAGAGGGGGAAGGGATTGAGTGGGTAGCGAGGAGGGCGAGGGGGTGTGAAGCTCCAATTAAACCATTTTCAGTGGCATTCAAGAGGTTTGAGGTTATGTTTTTGCTTCGTTTGCTTTGCCACCTATTGTTGCGTTTCACATATGAATTATGCATGGCAATAATAACAACAACAACAACAAAGCCTTCTCTGTATCTGTGTGTGTGTGTGTGTGTAGTTGTTGCTGTTTGCGGAAATGATGTTGACGCGGAAGCTGTAATAATGAAGCAGCAGCAGAGCTGCAAAATGTCGTCTAACGATGCGCCCCGCACACCCCCGAAATGTATGCTAACCCTTTCAATTTTCCAGCTCGGCCAAAAACTTTTGCCTCCCCCTGCTCCAGCTCCTGCCCCTGCCTCTGTTGCTGCTGTTGCTGTTTTTTGCTTCTTTTGCATATTAATTATGCATGTGTTGTTGGTGTGAAGGCATCAACACATTGTTTGAATTTTAAGCAACAAGCTCTGGCCCAGCCACAGCCCGCTTTCTCCGCGCTTGTCAGTGCTCATTTTATGCTCTGTAAAGCGTGGCGAATGCCACGAGGCGGCTATGATACCAACCTAAACTGAATCGATTGTCAGACTAAACAAAGGCTGAGCTTTTACCTAAAATCAATGCTCTGGTTGCAGGGTATCTCCAAGTCAGCACGAGCTGCTCCCACTGGTTAGCTGATGTGGCGCCGCTATGCAGCAGCCAGCTGTATAAATATGAGGTGCGGCAGATAACGAGCTAATAACTCACTTAATTTCTGTGAGCCGTTGTCCATGCGGAGCAGGGGCAAAGAAATACATGTCGACGAAAGCTGAAAGACAATGGCTCAAACAATGCTCGATTCGATGTCCCTTTGCCGGCCAATTAGTCGGCTAAGTACATAATCACGTTAATTGCATCAATTTGAATATTATATATAAAAAGGCATTTCAAGCACTGCAGCTAATTTATGGCCATCAAGTGTGTGTGTAATTAGCTTAAAATTAAAATTTTCGGGGCGTCATTAAATCCCGTGCGTGTGTGAAACTAAATTGTTTTATGGCTTTATTTAAATGGCCAATGGGAATTTGTGCGGTCAATCGAATCGATCAACCGATGACCCTTTCATATGCGTGCTGTCCTCAAATAGCGCTATATAATTAACAATGTTCAATCCATTATTAACTAAACTTATCTAAACATATATACATTTTTTTTCTACGTATTGAGTATATAAATCTATTTAAAAATCAGGCTAAAGTAAGGGAAACTTCTGTTTTGGGGCTGAAAGCTTGTTAATTGTTAATTGGCAGCATTTTAAGCATCGATTGTTAATTGCTAGGCCTCATTGCATTCGACTCGAAGTGAAAAGTTTCAAGTACTTTCGTCTGGCAAAAGTTTCCAGCGAAAAACAATAGAACAATGACAGTACAAGCTTACGTTGGGAAAATATCTATATATATAATTAAGAGGCCAATGCAATTAGCCTGAAGGTATTCACCAAATTCTCACTGCTCGCACACAGTTCGTGGCTTCAGGTCTGTTAGCCAATCTATTCGAAATGTCCTTTAAAGGGAAGCATACATATATAATGCTGAAATTTGTGTAAACTTCAATCCGCCCTCGTGGCTCTGTTTACTGCGTCAATTCGAGGCTATTTTTGTATATTTTGCTTTTAACACAATTTGCCAAATTTACACTTCACTAACATCCATACATACACACACAGACACACACACACACACACACATGCGATAACAACAAGCATTTGAAAGCATAACAATAGGCAAGTGTGATTCATTTTTGGTTTTGGCCGTGTGTTGGGGGTTTCAGTCGGAAAGTCAAAAAATAAATAAGGCAACATTCAATGCAAATTGGACTATTTACGCAAATTTTATTGCCAAGCACTTTTCTATTTATTTCCTTGTTGTGTTGTTATTTTCTTTTCTTTTCTTTTCTTACTGTTGCTAGTTTGCCCAACCGCCACATGTGGCCGAGTACACATAAATACATATTTATATATGTATGTGTGTGCATGTGTGTGTGTGGGCATCCTTGGAGCATACTTTATTTCCTTGACGCTGAGCTAGGAAATCGTTAGCCCCCAGCGACTAGTAAATCAGGCAATTTGAAATGCGCTTCCTCGACTCTCATTTGTTTTTTTTTTTTCATATGTATATATATATATATATTTTTGTTGTTGTCTTTGTTGACGTCGTCGTCGTTGTTGTTGTTGTTGTTGCTGTCGCTAACCCTTAGCTAACCTTTTGGGGTTACTCGGGGCTCGTCTGCTGCACAAATTATGCGATTTGATGTCATTATTCTGTCGCCAAACGGCGCGCGCCTCACTGGGCAATTGGCAGAGTTTTATGCTCGCATTTTGGCCCGATTTCCTCGACTGCGCGGCCTCCACATAAAAAGCGTTTGCCGAACAAAATGTGTTCTTTATTGACATTTGGAGGCGTCGCCGTTTTGCGCGTCGACTCAACGAGTTGAAGCGTGGCCTGAGGCTCTGTCAGAAAGCTTCATCTCGTTTCGGTGGGGCTTACCAATAAATTTGTTCTAGTGAAAATTTATTGACATTGGTTTTTAAACCGCGACGCGTGTTGCCAAACGATTTTATGGCCTCTGATGTGTCGGCCGCTGACATTGAGCCCAGGCATAACTGACCTTTAAGCATCCAAAATGCTTGGCTTCAAAAAGTCGATATCGCAAATTGAGCATATCAAATGTTACCAAGGCCTACAACGAAACCAATACGCATTAGCGCCGAGAATAGAATAGAGCACGAAACATGTTCTATCAGCCTGAAGCCATTCAATCAGCGCAACGGTATACCCAGCTCACATTGACAGGAACAAATTCCGGTTACGATAGCTATGCCTAAACTATGAGGAAGGAGCAGGAGGCTTCAAATGTGATGAAAATATATACAATATTATATGTTGATCAGTTATTGAACTTTATGTTCGACTTGGTTGCTTAATAATTTCTATAAACCTATCAGAACAGGGACAGAAAGTTGTGTTGAGTATAGTAATTATACATGCAACAATTATTATGTATGTAATTGTGTATAACTTAAAATTAATAGGGTGTTAATTAAGTTAAAAAGGGTGTTAATTAAGGTACTGAGAAACGTGAAGAGCTTCAAGACACTGTGATACCTTGAGCTTCTATTAATCATCGGCGTTTCTCTTCTTCTTGAACTGGTGTTGCCATCCTGTTGATATTGAGATTGACAAAGCTTGTCATGCAAAACAAATAAATAAATTAAAGTAATAAAGAGACCCAAGAAAATAATAAATGCGTTTTAGATAGACTCATATGAGTTTTTATGAATCTGTTGAAGAACCAAAACGATCAAAGGATGATTCTTTCACTACTTAGTAATGAAATGAATAAATGGAAATTAAATTCGATTGCAAATTATTAAAATTAACGGATGAAAAGAAAAAAAAATTCTTGTTTTTTTCTAGCTTTCGTTTAGTTGTACTGCCTTTTCTATTATTCAATATAGTTTTGTATATTAGCTGTAAAAGGAAAAAATCTAATAAATAATAATAATGATAATAATGATGCCATTACATTTCTTCGGCAATACGTTTATAATGTATAATAATGTGTTGTGCTAGCCTTAATCAATTTTAAAATCTTTCTTTATTTCTTTATATTTATTGCATTATAGTCGTAATTGAAGAATTGAAATGATTAACAAATTAGATCGAATAAGAACATAATGAGTACTGAGCTTTTAAGGAACTATCTGATATCACCCTAAGAAAATGATATCTAAAATATATTTGAAAAATTACTAAATTAAATGACATCCGCATTGTCAACATACAAAAATTCATTAACATACGGACTTTCTGATCTATGCAATTTCACATAGTTTCGAATTTCACCCGTTTGAGAGATTTGAATGCCAATATTTCGTAACATATGTTCAAGAGCAGTGAGAGAGAGAGAGAGAGAGAGTGAGATAGAGAGAGGGACAGATGCTGTAACAATATGTCCCGTAAGGCTCAATACCCACAAAAGCCACCGCGGATACACCAGCAGCACGAGCAGGCCGACATAATGAGTTACTTATGACACAAAGGAGACCGCGGATGCGCTGCCAGAAGGACACTGTCAATGCTTATCGGCGCGTTATCTGCTCCTGCTGCTGCCTCTGAGGGCATTGCATGTGCTCAGCAAACCGCGAAATGGAATCGAATCCATAGATCAAGCGGGCAGCAAGAGCAAAAAAAAAAAAAAAAAAAAAAATGAGAGCAGAAGAGTCGAGTGAATCGACTTGCATTGATAAATTAAAAGCAGCCCAAATGTTTGCTATTGCTTTGACATGTTTGACAACAATGCGACCGAGGCACGGCAACTGGGCGGGGGTTGGGAGTGTCAGACGTGGAAAGCCGACAGCGGAAGGCCGAAAGCGGGAAGTGGAAAGTGGAAAGTGGAAAGCGGAGCGCGACTTAAGCCGCTGACAAATGCGATTGCCTATTGAAATTGAAAAACCAGAACGAAACATAACACAACCCTTGAGGGTTGCCTCGGCTGGCTCAGCCCGCTTGGCATTTGCATTGATTTCAATTAATTTGCTTGTTGTTCTATCGCCGGCCGCTGTCCCCGAGCTGAAGTGGTCCGTGCTCTGTTCTGTTCTGTTGTGTTACGTTGTGTTGTGTTTGTTGTGCTGGGTTTGCGTGATTGTAATTGATATTTGGCTTGGGTTG